CTGCAGCCCATTTCGATCGCCAATGGTTAAAAAGAGAAAAAAATTACACCCATCCGGATATTCAAAATGAAATCCTTGAAATATTTGGCAGGGAAATAAGTCTTACTCTCTTAGGGAAAATGAAGTAAATTTCTCCTTTCCTTTTTTCCGTAATTTGTGATGGAACGAGAGATATTTCAGGGACTGAGCAAGAGAGCATTTGCATAAGGTGGGTAGATGAAAATTTAGAACCACAAGAAACAGGATTTTATAAGACCCCGGCAACAACTGGAGAGGACATTGCATCACTAATAACGGATGTCCTATAGACAGGGTTAGTCCTACGTCATCAACGACGTCACTAGCTCTCCTCGTTCCAAACAAAGTTCTGAACGGAGCAAACAATATGGCGTTTCTCATGTAGTTAAAAGTGGGTGAACTAAATCTTTGAATATATTAATATTGAGTCGAATTTAACCACTGACATGGCAAGAAAAAGTGTTGCATATATTAATATTACGTTAATCTCTTTTTATGATATTAATTGGAATAGCTTAACTGCAAATGATTATGAAAACTTTTTGTATATTTTGTATATTTTTGTAACTTTTTGTTGTGGGGATACTGTCTAGGACAGGTTTTGGGTCTGGTCGACGGGAGAAAAGGTATCTTTTTCTTCGGTCTATTTTTTTAGTACCCTCCTTGAAATGCGCTATTTTTGTTTCCATAGCAGCAGGCGACCTCAGACTTTGTGGCGGGGGGAGTTCTTGCCTTAGACAAAGTATAATTATTTTTTTAAAAAAAAATGGCCTGATTTTCCTTTTAGTTATATTTAGAACTATATTGATCTTAATTCAATATATGTAAACTCATAATGTTTTCATAAATTTTTAGTTTGACCATTCATCAAGCACATAGAAAGAGTTATTTGTAAATAATGCATTCGTAACCACTCTTATAGCTTTGTTTAAACTTCACTAGAATATGTCAATTTCATAAATGACACTTTTATGTTTGCTTAGTGACAGATGCCTGACACGTAATAAGAGATAACCAGCGTAAACTGCTTTTTTTCCAACTACAACTTTAATTTCAAGCTTGTAATNGTGTCTTAACGATCAGTCCACTGCGAGACTGTAACCACTCTTATAGCTTTGTTTAAACTTCACTAGAATATGTCAATTTCATAAATGACACTTTTATGTTTGCTTAGTGACAGATGCCTGACACGTAATAAGAGATAACCAGCGTAAACTGCTTTTTTTCCAACTACAACTTTAATTTCAAGCTTGTAATCAGTATTTTTAACCAATCACAGTTCATTATTTCTTTTGCGATTGCGCAGTATCAAAAAGAGATATCCTGCGTTTTATTTCAGTATTTTACTATTGAATGGTGGTAGTTGTTTACACTCTTTGTGTTTTGGTAATATGGCAGTTAGTATTGATGATCAACTTTCTAATCAAGAATTAAAATTTCCTGCCAATAATGACACAGGTAACATAAATTTATTTTACCCTTCTTTATTGACGAGCTTCTACAAGATATACGTTGGAAGTGTTTATATTAAGAGAATTAGTATAGTGAGAGTTTCTTTATGAAGGTAAACAACATTGGCTGTTGCATGAATGATACAGCTGTTGACACCAAATTTATTTCTAGAATTCTTAGAAATTTTGCATTGTATACATCGTAAAGTGTTTGATGGTACAATTCAATTTTTAAATTGTGAAGTTAAAAGTTAAATAATTTTTCCATTACTCGTGTTCAAACTCGTTTGTTGTGAAAGTAAAAATTTATTGTTAAGAATTGATTTTTTTTCTTCTGATTAAATTGAAACTATTAAATTTTGTTTTTTAATGTCTTGAATACAAGATCGATTGTATTGGTGCTACATTTAGCTGGATGTAGTTGATTTGAATTTTATTATTAAAAGATCAAATTGTGATAAGTTGGTATAAATTTCAACAAAAATTTAAAAATTGCATCTATATGTTTTGAAGTAAAATATTTTTTAAAAATAGTGTGCTTTGTAAAATCCATTTCGGAATTTGTAAAATACCTACTGTAAGCAGGGTTGTTGATATTTTACCCAACCTTGCATTTTATTATTAACAAATCAGCTCTAAATATTAGGTTTATAATAGAATAAAATACAAATTGCATGCATCGAATTATCTATATTTCTATCTGTGCTTAAAATTTTTTAATTAGCTTTTTAAAAACATTTATTATTAGAAATTACAAATAATGTGCTAAGGTTTTCTTTGAACAACATCAGTTACTATTTCATAATACAATTGAAATAACAGTTAAATTTTAAATATTTTCCTGATTGTTTTACGTATAGTTACAGATGATTATAAAATATCGCATCTTTCACCTCTTAACCAGAGAAATAGTTATTCTAGAATTCTTTTTCTGGTGCATTTCTTGTTGTTAAAATACCCGAGCTTATTCTCAATATTCTTGTTCTTTTTACTGATAGTAACATAGGGCACAATAACACAGATGGATAAGTAACGCAAAGCAGCATTACATCATTATTTTTAAAATTTGGTTTATTAAACTTTAAGACTTATAAATATTTTTAAAAAGTGTTTACTTTTAAAATTTTTATGTTTATTTTGCAAATGCCCAATGCCCACACTATTACAAACAATAGCACCTATATCTATTAGCAGGGGTCTGTCTAGGTTTTTCTGAGAGGTACCTATTTTGTGAAAATTTAGACATAATTTGTGAAAAATTAAAAATTATATTAAAAAATCAACACAAAAATATGGATTTATCGTTTCTTAAGGGATACAAAAATAAAATTTTAAGAAAAAGTATTTTGTGAAACTACCGTTTTTCCTAAAATTGAATTTGTGAAACTACCGTTTTTCCTAAAGTTGAATTTGTGAAGGTACCGCTAAACGATAGTAAATTCGGCCTGGACAGACCCCTAATTAGTGAACGTGCTCTTCAGTATTTTTCAATTATACAATTAAAATTCAGTAATGCAGGGCACACCTCTAAATCAGTCACATTTTTATTTTGTTTAATTTCTGATTGTGTTTTGTATATTCTCATCTAAATAGCTTATAGCTTCAATTTTTAATTTTTGGGAATCAACACTCCCTTTAAAGCTATAAAAATTATTATTTTAATTTCTACTTTTGCTTACAAGGGATATGTTATTAAATTATCATCTAAGGGTGCAATAAGGGTATGGTGCATTATGTAAAGAATTATTACTTAGTTTTTTTTTTTTTTTAATCTTATCTTATCTGAATATAGCATTTAAAGCTAATATTTTTAAAATTTTAATCTTATTATATATTTGTACCAACAAAATAGTTTTTATTGTTTCAGAAAAAAATTGCGATGATAGTTCTCGTTATGGCAATACTGTAGCAAAATCTGAAAAAAGAGAACGCCGTAAGCCAGAGTTACAGATATATAAACCAGGTAGAGGTTTGCAAAATAAAAGCTCAAAAGCTGAAGATGATAAGAAATCTAACTTAGAAAGCATAAGTAATCCTAGAAATGATTCTCCTAGTTCTGAAAGTCCTCCTAATTTTGCTGAGGAAAAATCAAGTAGTGTATGTGAGTCTGTGAAATCTACTAAAATCTCAAAAAGTAGAAGACCAGACATTCAAGTTTATATGCCTAAAGCTAAGCTCAATGCCTCAAGACTCAATGAAAGACCGAGCTCATCTATGAATGATTCTTCCTCTAAATATGAAGAGGAGGATGGTGAGGTTTCATGGAAAAAATCCAGTTCTCATTGTGATAGACACAAGTCAATGGATGCGAAAGTTAAAACGCAGTCAGTAAAAACAGAATCCAATGGGATTAAAAGTAGTAAACCCCAATCGAGTAAAGACTCTGAATCTCCTGTGAATACAAAATCTTGGGCAGATTGTGTGGAAGAGCACTTATCCAATTCTAGATCTTCACCAGAGGATCAATTATGCAATGGTTACTCTGACAGTAATGTGCATCTACATTTATCTAATGCTTTCAGTGATAAAAAGATTGAACATTATACTAAAGCAAATCACAAATCAGGTAGAGATGATCAAAGATGGCATAGAAATAAGAAAGGAAATAAACAAAGAGAAATTTCAGTGACAAATGTGGGTGAAAAAAGTAAACACAATGATGTCACTAAGAATTTATCAGCAAAGGATTCTGCTAATCAAAAACAAACTGATATTTCTACTAGGAATCTTCCTGGAAAAGATTCAAACAGTCAGAAACAGATGGATAATATATCTACAAGAAACCTCTCTGGGAAAGATTCAAATAGTCAAAAACAGTGTGAAATGTCTTCGAGGAGATATTCCAGTAAGGATTCAACTGTTCAGAAACAGTCTGATACTTCTACGAGGAATCTACCTGGAAAAGATTTGTATAATCAGAAACAATCTGATATGCCTGGAAAAGATTCAAATTGTCAAAAACAGTCGAATATATCTACAAGGAATCTATCTGGTAAAGATTCAAATATCCATAGACAGTATGATACGAGAAATTTACCAGGAAAAGATTCTGTTCCGCAGAAACAATCTGATATGTCTTCAAGGAATCTATCTAGTAGAGATTCGAATGCTCATAAACAATCTGATACATCATTAGGAAGAATAAACAAGTCATTAGATAATGCAGCTCGTTTGAAAGAAAAGAAAACTAACACAAATTCCTTAGATAGAGGAAAAATGAAACAAAGAGAAAATTCAGTAACAAATATAGATAATAAAGGTTATGTGTCTGAATTTAATGATTCCAGTAATGTAAATTTACATGATGTAAAACAGGAAAGAAAGAAGCACGATAAAGATTTTGTTATTCCACCACGTTTTCAGAAACAGAAGCTGCAAAACTCAGATTCCAGCTCTTCTGTTCAAAGTAGATGTGGCGGTATTTTGAAGTTGCCTGTAGATCATGATCATATTGATCCTCCTTTGGAGATGTTGGAAAAACTGCATATTCCGAAAGTATATCCCGAACCTCCAAAAATGTTCATTCCTAAACTGTTGTTTGATCCTAACAATCCTAGTAAACCTGAGATTGTCAACATTCCTGCACCAATACCACCTCCTCATGTGCCATATCCTAAAGTGAATCATATGCTGTACGCATCAGACTCTCTGAATTCCCACTATATTTCTGCTCCAGTGGAGGCCGGGCCTTATATCCCACCACCTCAACCGCCTAAAGCAAACCCACATTACCAGTTTATGCAACCTGGTAATATCTGTGCCAACAATGTTCTAAATGGTTATTTAGATATGAGTGGAAGTAGTCCTCCAATTCATGCTCCACAGATGAATGGTATTTATCCAACTCCTCATTCTTACTCAGATGTTGTTCCTGTCAACCAAGCTAAGAGGAGGTAAAGTTTTATTTGCTGAAAATCTTTTATTTTCCCCATTTTTTCTTTTTGTTCTGTACTTGATAAACATTAGCCATAACTTGAATGCTTATTTATTTGTAAAAACTTCTGCTTACTTGTAAAAAACAATATTCAATTTAATGATTTGAATTTAGTTTTTTTTTTTCAATATCCTTATTTTTAAAATTTTTTATGTGTTTTAAAATTGTCTTTTTTCATTTAGATATTTTTTAAAAATTTCTATCATTTTTTTTTATTTCTTATTCTTTGGTTAAGAGAAAATCTTTGTGAAGTGGTAGCTTTATTATTCCAGTTATCTAAATTTTTGACTTTTTTCTTTAATTCACCCATTAATTGGACAAGTGACACCTTTTTTTTGTGTTTTCTTAGAGAATTATTTTTCTCAAATTAATGTCAATTATTTTTCATAATAGTTCAGTTCAAAATATGCTGCATGGCATAAATTTTTAATTATCTAGAACAAAATTGTAGTGAAACATCAGTTTTTTAAATTGTAGTTTGTGCTTTGACAGTTAAAAAGTTTTCGCTTATTTTCTCTATAGTATTTTAGTGCTAATGACGTAAGTGTTCTAAAAATCTTTTTAAAAAAATGTCAACAAAAATGCTATTTTTGGCTCTTGTTATAAAAAAAATTTTAGGGGTAAAGAAGAAATTTAGGAAAAATTGTTTCATTAAACACATTTTAATTATTTATATTTTTTATCAGAATTATATTTTAAAAATGTTTTTAATAAAATTTTCTATATTATTTATAAATTTTCACTGAAAAATTGGTAAATAATATGGAGAATAATACTATATTACTAAATATTAAATTATACAAATAGTTATATTTTAAATATTGAAAAATGTAACTATTATATCCTTAAAAAAAGAATTTTTACATCAAAAGACTGATATTTAGAGAGAAAAATAAGCTGCAGTACACTTATTGGAAATGCTTTAAACTTTTTAATAAATGTTACATCTATGTGAAAACATTCAGGATGTATTACTTAGAAAAAAAGCTGTTTTATAAAAAATATTTCCATGTCTATTTATTTTTTAGTTATGATTTTCTTCTTAATTTTCATTTAAAAATACTGGTAGCTATATATAATTATTATTAGAAAGATAAAAATTCTATTTATATTGTATCTGGAATTTTTATTGATGTTTTGTTAGGAAATATAAAACATTTCTTTATTCACCAATTATGATTGGTCAGAAATTTCTACCTTTTGAAAGCTCAACTCAAATGTTATTGACTGAATATCTATTTTTAGATTGAAACCCATTGTTGAAAAGAATTTGCATGAGATTGTGATGCTAGAAAAAGAACTCACTTCTGTCTTGGCAAAAGGTTTAATGCATAATTTGAATGGCTTGAAGCAATGCAGGTAAATTAAAGTCTATTTAATGCAGCTATAGTTTTCTTCACCTTTTTCTTTTGATTTACTCTCTGCATGAATGTGTATTTTTTTAAAATTAGATTTGTACACAATATCTTAAAACATAAAAATATTATAAATTATTTAAATACTACGAAAATTCTAATTTTATTAAATTAATTATAATATTAAGTAAACAATTGAAATTTTTCAAAAACAGGGTAGGAATGAAATCTATTTTTTGCAGGACACTGAAGTAACTGAGCAAAATGAAAGAAACTGGACAAAAATGATGAATATAATTGTTGAGCTTTAAATAGTTTAAGAATAGCTTAAAACTTTACATATTTAATATATAATTTAGAATATTATAAGTTTCTCTTAGTTTTTTTATTAAATTTTTTTTTAAAAGCAACTGTATTTTTAGTTTTATACGAAACTTTAAAATCTTTAAGAGTTGGTTTGAGTATTCAAACTTAGCATTTGATTATAAAAATTTGTACACTGTTTATAACTTTAAATTCAATGTGTTTTAGTAGTGTATTTGTTTAGTAATTTTTTAATTTAGAAGTATTAATAAAATTTGATTGTTATTTCAGCAGATCTTTATAATTATTATAAAAATTCAGTTTTATTACACTCATTCACATGAAATATTGGAAAATTATAGTTACTTTCTCATAAAATAAATTTTTTTTTCCAAATTGTAGATTTTTGGTTTTTACTTATTTAAAATTATTTATTAAATAACTTGCAAATTAATTTTATTATTTAAATTAGATTGTTTAAATATTTGATACTTTTTATTAAGATATTGAGAAAGAGTTTCTTCTACTTATGTTTGTTTTTTCCTGGATGGTTTTCTTCTATTTTTTTTTGACTTGTGGTAATTATGTGAAGTGAGAATGTTTCATTTAATTTTTTACAATTGAAGATTTGCTTTGTAAATTTTCAACTATGCATTTTAAATTTTAGATATACTAAAATTGATGTAATTACTCAATTGGATAACATTTGCCCTTCAATATTATTCTTAAAATTATTTGTGTTATGTGGTTTAATGTGCCTTCTGCATTAGATCAAGGTACCTCAGCATTTAGGTTTATTGGTTCACTGTTTTAGGATCTTCTAAAAATTATAAAAAAATTGCCAGCAGTTCATTTTTAAAGTAGTCATTAAGGGTAGAAAACATGCAATTTAAATCGTAGGAAAAAAGAAACTGAACTATGTTTATGGATAATTTTTTAATTAGATAAAAACTGTAAAGTAGACTAACACCAGTTTTTCATACATATTTGAAATAATATCTAATTGGTATTATGTTAAAGTATGGTATGCATGTGGACTGTATATGGATATAAATTTTTCTTAGATACTTCATATATGTATCTATTTGCAATCAGAGAAACAATTGTCTTTAGTGATGCATCATCACTACAGTGTGAGATAAGCTTTGATCTGTTAGATTTTAATGTTTTGAATTTTATGATGCAAAATTTTTTTATTATTTGGTTTTCAGAATTGCATCAAAACATACACAAGGAGGTTGCTTGTATTTTTATTATTTTTTTAGCACATGTTACGATACTACTTCAAAAATGTCAGTAATACTAATTTCATGTGATTCTTAATCCACAGGAATATATTCGCAGTGTGTTTTTTGCAGTGTGTGACTAGAAAAATAATCACAATGGGTGATTAATTTCATTCGAAAATTAATCAGGGTATGGGATACATAAGTTGCATGATAAATTGTATATTGTGATTCATAAATTGTGTAAGTATTGGTGATTAATTTCATTGGAAAATTAATCAGGGTATGGGATACATAAGTCACATTATGAATTGTGATTCATAGATTGTGTAAGTATTGGTGATTAATTTCGTTGCAAAATTAATCAGGGTGTGGGACTTATAAGTCACATAATGAATTGTAGTGTGTGATTCATTAATTATGTGAGTATTAGTGACTAATTTATTTGGAAAATTAGTCAGGGTATGGGATACATAAATCACATAATGAATTGTAGTATGTGATTCATAAATTGTGTGAGTATGATTTATTATGTGCAATTTAGTAGCCTCGAGGTAAAGGTAGCAATTGATTAAACTCATAATTTATTCGTATTATAGTTGTTTTATAAGTGAGCAAATTTCACCTTTCAATTACTGTTATTTTTAGCTCGCAGGTTTGTTGCAATAATTCTGGTTCTGCAGATTTGATTTTAATAAACATTTAATTTGTGATCCAGTGATTTGAAAAGTGGTGTTTTTTTATGTTTACCTACCTACTTTATTTTTCTTGTTGAAATTAAAAATGCTCTTTTAATTTTGTAGATGGAAGTTGCAGCTTCGATATGAGAATATAATTTTGGCCGATCCCAAATATTGTGCTGAAAAGAATCCTGAGCAAACTCTCTGGAAGACAGTTTATCACCATATAATTGAAACTTATAGAAAACAATTGGAAGATAATCCGAATAATTCTGAAGAGATCAAGGAAACTCTTTTGAATATTATTTTAGAGGTATACCATACCTGTGGTTTCTTAAACTATTTTTCCTGTTGTAACTAACAGTAATGCACTTAAAATATTTTGCTTATTTACTTTATTTATTTATAAACTATTATCGTACATGGTTTTAAAAATTACACTATTATTGACATTGCTAAGAAAGTAAATTTTGAAAAATTGGGATTTTTATTCTTTTTTATATATTTTGATATATTGGTTGCTTACAGACTACATCAGTATGCATGTCAACAAGTTTTTCTGATGATAAAAGGTATTTTTTGGTGCCATTCTATCCCATATTCAAATAACTTAAATATACCGAGGCTGTGAGATTGCCAAATTTAGCTATAAATCAAATTTGAATAAGAAAGAAATTCAATTTTCTTGCTTGTTATAGGCATATGCAGAAAAGAAAAAAAAACATTCATGCAGCAGCCTGTTTGAGCTTGGGGGTTATGGAAGTTTAGGCTCCAAATTTTTGTGACCAACGGTATGAATGTGACAATTTTCTCAGCATTGTGTGCTGGTCGCCTTTACTTCCTAGACAATCTGGTACCCATTGAGCTGAAGCTGGGTAGGTGTGAAGCTGCCACTGGGGGGGATCGATTACCAGTTTTTTCCAATGACAATTCAGTGCCTTAACCACTGAGCCATTGCGGCTTGTAAACAAATGCATTTCTATTCTGAAAATTAGATCTAGTATTATAATTATTCCATTCTAATTGTAGTAAAGTATTTTGAAAGTGTTTTAATTAAATATTAATTAGACGGAATGATTTTATTTTTCATTCTAGTTTAAATTATTTATTTTAAGATATATTTTTAAAATTGAATATATTTGTTTCCTTTAAGTGTCAACTTAAGTTTTCACGTAGTTATACTTTTAACTTTTCAGATCTAAGATTTTTCTGAAATATTTAATGTGATAGAAAATTTTATGATTTAACATTTACATAACATTTAACATTTTAATTCTCATGATTTGTTAATGTTTATATACACATGAACATCATCTGTAAATCGCAATTATATTACATTCTCTGATAAATACTAAAATTATGATTGTTTGTTTAAATCAAGTTTTAATTTTTTCAATCAATCAATTCCAGTGTTTAATTATGGTATTATTAATATTTAGTACAGTAATTAGAATAAGTATCCTAATACATGTTAATATTAATATCTAAACTTTTATTATGTACAGTACAGAACCCGTTATCCGGAAATCAGAAAACCGGAAAACCAAAAAACCGGAACGAAATTCGATAAATTTTCCCGCNTCTTTTTTATATATTTTGATATATTGGTTGCTTACAGACTACATCAGTATGCATGTCAACAAGTTTTTCTGATGATTAAAGGCATTTTTTGGTGCCATTCGATCCCACATTCAACTAACTTAAATGTACCGAGGCTGTGAGATTACCAAATTTAGCTATAAATCAAATTTGAATAAGGAAAGAAATTCAATTTTCTTGTTTGTTATAGGCATATACAGAAAAGAAAAAAACATTCATGCAACAGCCTGTTTGAACTTAGGGTCATGGAAGTTTAGGCTCCACATTTTTGTGACCAATGGCATGAATGCAACAATTTTCTCAGCATTGTGCACAGGTCGCCTTTACTTCCTAGACAATCTGGTACCCATTGAGCTGAAACTGGGTGGGCGTGAAGCTGCCACTGGGGATCGATTACCAGTTTTTCCCTATGACAGTACAGTGCCTTAACCACAGCCATTGCGGCTTGTAAACAAATGCAGTTCTATTCTGAAAATTAGATCTAGTATTATAATTATTCCATCCTAATTGTAGTAAAGTATTTTGAAAGTGTTTTAATTAAATATTAATTAGACAGAATGATTTTATTTTTCACTCTACTTAAAATTATTTATTTTAAAATATGTTAAAATGGAATATATTTGTTTCCTTTAAATGTCAACTTTAGTTTTCATGTAGTTATACTTTTAACTTTTCTGGTCTAAGATTTTTCTTAAATATTTAATGTGATGGAAAATTTTATGATTTAACATTTGCATAACATTTAACATTTTGATTCTCATGATTTGTTAATATTTATATACACATGAGCATCATATAAAAATATGATAAAAATGATAGCTAAAAATATGATTATTTGTTTAAACCAAGTTTTTATTTTTTCAATCAATCAATTCCAGTGTTTAATTATGGTATTATTAATATTTAGTACTGTAATTAGAATAAGTATCCTAATACATGTTAATATTAATATCTTAACTTTTGTTATGTATTAAACTTTATAATAGATTATTATGCTTGTTTCTGTATTAACCAAACTTTTATTTGTCAACTTTTTGGTAATTATAATTTAATTATGTGAAGCAATCAATGTTCTAAATTCAATAATTGAAGAACTTGACAGATTGGACAAATTACAATTTTACATATTTTTATGTATCATTAATTAATATTTATTGCAAATTATGATTATCTACTCCAAAATTTTGGAAATTTGACAGTAATTGTCATATTAAAAAGGAAGTTTAATGTCAAAATGATTAAAGAACATAGTATATTGATAACTTGCAATTTTGTATGCCCTTTTATTTACAATTACTTTATATTTTATAATTACCAATACTTATTTTCTCTACCAAAATGTTGGGTTTTTGACATGGCAGTTGAAACTGTATAAAATTGTCAATTGTCAAAAACTTGTCAACCCTGTTTTAAGTGCTAATATAATTTTATACCGGATTAGCACGGTCCTTTTAAGTCCTTAAAAACTGCTTAATTTTTATTTTGGAAAATAAGGGCCCTTAAAAGTACTTAATTTTGGTTAAAGGTTTTTAAAAGTCCTTAATTTTTTAGCATCACTATAGTTAATAGGAACAATTTTTCAATTCAATTTTTTAAAACAAAATGTCNAAATCTAATTTATTTAGGGGATCTTGCTCGTTATAAAGAACAAATTTCACAGACCTCAAACTATGGAAAAGCTCGAAGGTGAGTAATCAATGAACAATTTCAATGCACCTGCTTGCGTTAGACTTAAAAAGGATTGTTTTTTGTTTTATACCAGGGATACATAACCATTTTTTTGGTAGTGGGCTACAAAATACACTAATAGGGGCAAATATTAATATAATGCTGCAATTAAGGTAATATGTGGGGAATATTTAAACTCAGCTAAGGTAATATGAGTGAGTTACAAATGTATAATTAAACTTTTTCTCCTGCATAGATAATAAAATAGTTAATGTAATAAATAAATTAATCAAATATATATTAATTTGATTAAAAAGCAGACTATGGTAAATTTGTAGGCATGTAACGAAAAAGGTAACTTAATTTACTTAAATTTTAAAAGATTTACTTAGATTTCACTATTATGCAGAAAGCAAAGTTTATTGCTAATAAAGTAAAGATTGTGATAACTGTTGCTGGAATTTTAAAATTATAATTTTTTTATATTTATCAAATGTCTCTCTTTTTATTTATACAAATTCATAAGTAATTACATTTCATTGCAAACTCTGAAACCATCACATAAATAGAACTTTAATTATGAAATGGTGACATTGTTAAAATTGAAAAATGCTGTGTGAACTAGATCGGTTTCTCACTGGTTGGAAATTTTCTAATACATGTTTATTAATACTTAAGACAATTTAAGGACCAATTCATTGGTTTTACATGCCACTTTTTTTATGCTAAATTAATAATTTTAATCTAGTTATAGTCACTAAATAACAATGTTTTGGAAGAATGCTTATTTTCAAAGAAAATAATAATTGTTTATTATATTTAAACTTTTTGTCATTATACTGACGTTTATAATTGGCAAGTTTTCATTTAAATTTGTACATTTTTTTCTATTTTCCTCCTTTTTTTCATTTACATTTAAAAGTTTTCCTTTATAATTTTTCCCTTTATTAAATAAGTTCATTATGTGTTCGTTATTATTCTAGGTTTGCTATTTTCATATGATGTAGTATTTTGAGGTGGTTTTATTTTTTATTTGCCAGCAAGAAAAATAAATAAATTGATGCTTTTTCGAATTATTTATTAATTTGAGCCAAAATTTTTATATTACATTTTAATCAGGAGTATCAAAATGGTATAAATTTTCAAGATCTTAAACAAAATCATTGTTTTTATTTTTTGAGTTTTCATTTTCTATTTTAAAACAAAGACATATACTTTAAATTATTACTTTTCAACTTTTTCAATATTTCAATGTATTTTTTTTATTTCTATTTTTAGTTGGTACTTGAAAGCACAACAGATAGCTCCAAAGAATGGAAAGCCGTATCACCAGTTAGCTCTACTTGCCTTAAATACAGTAAGTGTGGTTTAAAATCACAGTTATTTGGTTTTCTACATAACTTACTGATTTGAATCATTTAAGTATAAACAAACAATGATTTGTCATGTTCTACAAGAACTTCTGAGTTAGGAAATAAATAGAATCTTTCTAAAGTACATATTAAGGTAGTTAGAGTGCTTCACTTGAACTTATCTCAATTTTATGTTTATTTTGCTGATAACAAACAAATGGAAAAAAAAGAGCCTTGGGAATTTACATCTAAATATGTTTAAATAATGTTTTGTTATAACATCTTATTAAAGAATCTAAAAATATTTTTAAAATCTTATATTATATTAAAAAAAGTTGTGTTACTTGAGGCTTTTTTTAAAAAAAAATTAGTTTTAAAAAGCCATAAAAATGACTTGCCTCTTAGTGGACTGATCATTAGACACAGTTCCCTATAGCTAACTGAAGTCAAGCATCACTGGCAGCAATCAGTGAGCAGGTGGGTGACTACTTTGATCAGAATGTGAAGAGACTGAGGTGAGGGGTACTGGTCCTCATTCAACTGTTCTACCATGGAATGCACAACTTGCACTCAGGTTGGCTGACTACCAGAGTAGGGGAGCTAGCTCCCCTCCGCAGAGGCTCAAAATTATGATGGCATGTCTTCAAATCATCCTCAAGAGGGGATCCATTGTGCAATTCTAGTTCAACAAAGTACTGCACTTAGTAGTTCAATTTAAATTACAAAAATTCAATTTTTCTGTTGTACTCTGAAACTTTTAAAATATGTTTAATTTAAAAGCTGCCTGTTTCATATTTTATTAATATGATTTCATATTATCTTTTAATTAGAGACGGAGGCTGGATGCTGTTTATTATTATATGAGAAGTTTGGCTGCTAGCAATCCTTTTCTCTCTGCTAAAGAAAGCCTTTTATCGTTGTTTGAAGAAGCTAAAAGAAAGGTATGTTTTAACATTATGTCATTTCACATGTAGGAAGCTATGTGTTTAATGCTCTGTTTAAGCAAAATATAAGTTTAACTTGAAAATTATATCGTTGGTCTTTGTTTCATTGAAAATAATATAGTAAGCACAATAAATTATTATTATTTTTTTATTAGGGAAAGTTTTTTTTTTATGATACATTTATTTTTGACTTATTATATTTCTAACAGTTTTATTTATTCATTTGAAATCTCTGAAATATACTAATGTGCATTTGATTTTGGAAATTTTTCCAATTTGCTTTTTCCAAATCTATTTTATCTTATACTTTCTCTAATAAATTATTGTTAAGGATAACCATTTGTAAAACATTCACAATATTTCTCTTTTAAATTAAAAGACATAAAAAGCTTTTTATTTTGCTAACTTTATTAGTAAACATAGAATACTAGTATAAATTCTATCTATTACCAAACAACTTTCTTTAAGTTGTTTGGTAATCCTTGATAAATTTTTATTTTGTTGTCTAATATTCACATGGTAGGCTACTATATTGCCTTGATGGATTTATCTGCAGCACTGATGAATTAACTAAAAAAATTTGTTATTGATACTGGTAATTTATGTTCTGAAATTGGGGACAAAATTACACTTTGAATAAGCATTCTTTTATTTATGCAATAGATTTTTTTACCTTTATACTCGTCAATTTTATGCATATTAATAAAAAGATTTTAAGGTTGTATCAGTAGCAGTAATGTTTTTTTAAATTTTTTTTTTTAAAAAATAGTAGTGTTTTTTTTTCAAGACTGTATATGATTTAGAAGAGAAAGATTTATCTTTAACTTTGTTTAGAGAAAACTTATAATAACATTTGATACTTTAGCCAAGTATAATGTAAATGTGATTGTGGATGTTTCGAAAGGTGATTTTGATATAGCAATTAACTTCAAATTGTCAAAAACTGTAATGTGTTGAAATTGTTGTAAGATATAAAGATTTAGCTAAGAAAATTGATTTGTTTTGAATGAATCTATAAATTTTTAAATGCTATTCTAAACCTTCTGATTACAAGAGGCTTTTTAAAATTCATTATTGTAGTATGAGAGTTATGAGAAGAAAAGAGTACACGAGAATACTGAAACAGAGGTCTTTGAGGATCAGGCAACAGAGCGTTATGAAGTTTGGATCAAGAATGATGGTTCCAGTACAGAGCGTCCTGCTGAAGTGGGAAATACTATTGACGCATGCGATTTGAAGAAATTAACTGATGTTGAGGTGATTATATTTAAAATTTTTTTCAACTTAAAATTTTTTCTCTATTTCTTTTTATCAAATGGATAAACAGGTTGAGTATAGAAAGTTACTTTTATTCAAGTTCTATTGTAATTACAGTAATGTTTTTTAAAAATTTAAAAATTAGTTGAAAATTTGTGAAATGATTTATTTTTTTTGATAAAAATGTCTTAGCCTATTGTTGCTTACTGTGCCATTAGGGATGACTCTAAAAATATATCTTAAATGCAGATGCTTTTTTTGTTGACATAAAATTTTTTTTTTAAATTAATGATTGCATGCATCAAGTTCTTTCCTTTTTTAAAAAGTCTAATTTGAAAGCATTCTTTTATAATATAAAATCAAAGGTATTAGTTTATTTATTAATTAATTTATTTGTGGTCAGTGAATATTTTAATACAAATAATATTTAATATTATAAGAATATATATATTTTTTTGAATCTCACTTTTTTTGTTGATTTCAATGATTTCTTTTAACATTTTCAATTGTAACATGTGTTATCTAGCCTTAATATTTAGATAATAAGTTATGTTTATACAGTTTTTTGTATTACTGTGTTGGCTGAAATGTTAATAGTTATTATTATAATTTTTTCAGTTAAACAAGAGATTTGTAACTAGCTTTTTACATGTTCATGGCAAACTGTTTACAAAAGTTGGGTGAGTTTTTACAATATTTCTATTCAATTAGCTGTAAATTTTTTCTTCAAATAATATATGAATAATCTTATTAATCAAATCATGTTTAATTAATTTAAATTGCTTTAAAATTTTTTTTAAACTTAGTTCTTCCTGGCATTGTTTTTTTTCTTCTGTTTTTTATACTTTATTAAACTATGCTTTCAGATTTACATTGTATAGGTCTCTAACTATGTCATAAAGTCAGTTGTTTTGATTTAGGAATGAATAATAAGAGTAACTAATCTTTTGGGAATTATGCATTATTGTTTGAAGCAATTTATGCTGGTTAAGTTCAAGAAACTTATGTTTGTGAAAAACATAAAACTTCACTTGTTTACAATTAATTCTGGGAACGAAGAATTGTTGGTGATAAAATTTTGGTCTGTTGTGCTAAATTTAATAATTTGACATTTATTCCTTTCTTATTCCTTTAATTGGGAAGTTCCACTTATTCCTTTTCATTTGGAGAACAAGAAAAAAGCGAACTAAACTAAACTCAATGGCGCGACAGCCTATAGAGGTCCAAGGCCTACTTGTGCTCTGGGGTGCAGGAGCAGATGTTCTGGTTAGTTGGTCAGCCAAACGCAAAAACCCCCAGTGTTTAGCTCCCAAGCATGCTTGGTACTCATTTATCAACCCACTGAAGGGATGAAAGCCTGGGTCAACCTTGCCCGGCCCAAGGATCGAACCCAGGACCTGTGGCACGGTAGCACAAAGCGCTACCACTCAGGCAACGGGTGTCAGAAAAAAACAAAACAAATTTATTAATTTAGGAAAGCAACTTGTCATAAAATCTGGAATGTAATTATGTTTAGATATTAAAAGGATATCTAAATCTGAGGGCTAATAGTGAAAGATAAAGGAAGCCACTTGGTTAAATTATAAAAAATTCTGGAGCATAATTTCGTTTTCAGAATTGCAAAAAAATTTCTAGCTTAGACAGTTGATAGTGAATTACAGGAAAGCAATGTGTTTAAATAACAAAAAAATAATGTTCGGAAGAAAACTGTCCGGGAATCATAAGGAATATCTAGCTTAAACAGTTATTAATAAAATAAGGGAAAAACAAATAGGTTGAATCACAAAATATTTTGTAGGATTCAGAAATTATAAAGAATTTCTTTGCTCAAAGGGTTAATAGGGGAAGTAATAGACATTTTTATTATGGTTCTAGAAAATCAAATTATCTAAAAGAGAACTTTGAAAGATAAATTCATATATTATTTTATTTTGCATTGCCAATGCAACTCTGACTATACTGTTTTTGTTTGGTTTACCTTGATAGTGAATTATAATTACTGCATTAAAAATAGTAACTAGTGAGCAATGAAAGAATGAGTAATTTAATTAGTGAGTTACTAAATGTAAAGAAAAGTAGAAAATGTATGAATAAGCAAAAAGAAAATAATTTTTGTAAATTTATATAAAAGATTTTTAAACCTTTAATTTGTGGTACAGCATCTAATAACCAAGAAATTTATTTTTCTGGTGATTACAATGTTTTATTTTTGATTAATGTTTTTTTTTTTTTTTAAAGTTTATTTTGAAATATAATATTTTTATTTTTTTAGAATGGAATCATTTCCTGATACCTTGAATAATATGCTGAAAGAATTTTATTTCCTTCTCCAAAGATCTCCATTACCATTGAACTCAGCTCGACTTCTACAATTGTTAGCTATTAACATTTTTTCTGTCACAAACTCAGCCTTAAAAGGTATATTCATTTTTGTTTTTTCTTTTTTTCATTTAAAAATCATTATTTTAAAGCTTCTAAAAACGTTGAAAGTCAGAACGATTTCTTTATTTAAGATTATACTTTTTTACAAACAAAGTCATTTTGGTAGGATTTGGGTTAGATTTTGAATGACAATTGTCTTGTTATGTTTATTATAATGATAAGCTGCTTACCTTTTCTTCCCATGTTTGAAAGATTTTTTTGTTTCAGAATTATTTTTTAGACATAGGCTGAAGTTATAACATCGCTAGCAGCAATTTTATCTTGTCCCTATTTGAACTCGTAATTGGCTCAATATGGGTTCTTTATAAACATGCACCGAATGACCAATATTGGGATATCTATATTTTTTAATATTCACCCTGTATAGGTCCAATATCGGCCTTTTTGGAGCCAATAATGGTCCTATATTAGCTGAATAATGAATATAAAATAGGGAAAGTATCTGAGAATATAGTATATAGAGCCAATGTTGGTTGTAAAGTGGCTTTAAAATATCGGGCCCTTTTAGCATGAATATTGAACCAATGAGGCCCAAGCTATTTTGCTGCTAAAGATTAGAGCTAATTAGTCCATATTGTATAAAATTTAGTAAGATTTAAATTAAATCTTTATAGGTTTTTGTATTTCATAAAAAACAACTAAAATTAAGAATTTTTTAAATTAATTTTGTTATATTTTTAAAGGTGCAACTAAATAATTGCTAATTATTAAATTCTCTGTTCTATTTTTATCTTTAATGCGTATTAAACTGTACCTTTCAGAGCATGGCCGAGAGCAAGGAGGGAGGTCCTTATTACAGGAACAAGCACTGTACTCAAGTATGGCCATGATGTGTCTGTTAATGGATAGATGCTGCTTACTGCATGTTGCCCACAAATCACTCCCTGAATACTCCAGTAACATCATATCAGATGATTTTGGTCTGTTATTGCCATCAATTAAAATCTGGACGGATTGGATGTCCTGTCAAAGGTATTTGTGGCCTCCCCCTTCTTCGCAGCTTGTAAAAGAGATAAATGTTCAGTAAGTATGCTTAAATTTTAAGTATCCTATTTGTTAAAAACAAATGCTTTAAAATTATATCCTTTCTTCAGAATTTGTATTTTTTATTACAATTTAACATTAGTCTTATAATTTAAGTTTCGCCAGAGTTCTTGTATCTAAATGTAGTTTAGAGTGCTACAACATAGAAGTAACAGTCTGTGATTGACTGAGAACTAAATTGCATCAAATACAGGGTATTTGTGCACCTGGAAAGTCGTGAAAAATTATGGAAAGTCATGAATTTCTGTATTGAACAAAATTTGTCATGAGATGTCATGTTTTTTAAAAAAAATTATGGAAAAATTATAAAAAAAATTATTCATGGATTTAGGTCGCCGAAAAATCTAATTTTTAAAATTGAATTTCACGGTGTTCCGAATATCTAAATTTCTAACAAAATCCCCACTCACAGTCATATTTTATTAAAATATAAAATGTTTTTATCATGTTCTTAATTTTGGTGTTCTTTCAAAATATGAAAGAAAAAACATCATATCTGGAGCGAATTTATCTTTTAACCTTCTGTGATTTCGGACTTTTTATTATTATTATTTTATTTTATCAATTTAAAATTCTAGCTGATTCCATTCATTGGCGATTTTTTTAAATTCTGAAATGAGAACAGAAAAATCAAGAGTATTTCTTTCCTTTCTGATGAAAAGTATCTTTAGAATATAATTCTGCCTAAAAAAAAGAAGAATAAAATTATTTGCTTTTGTAATTTTTTCAGCTATTTTATTGCTTCAACTCTTTCTTTACTCTGTTTTTTAAATTTAAAATCTATAAATAATAAGATACAGGGTATAACAGTTTTGGTTATACCTATCATTTCAATTAATGTTATTATAATGCTTTTTTAAATTTATTGTTGTGTTTTTGTTGGAGAAAATAGTAACTTCGTTAAGTCATGAAAAATTCTTGTAATTAGTCATAGAAAGTCATGGATTTGAAAATCAAAAATGTAGCAGATACCCTGCAAATAATAACAAATTAAAACATTTTCTGCACAGTATTTTTTACTACAGTATTATGTCATACAGGTAGCAGTCTGTGATTGACCGAGAGCCAAATTGTAGCAAATAGTAACAAATTAAAACATTTCTGTGCAATTAAGTTTCACTATAATTCTTGTTTTAAAAAGTTCTTAAGAGTATTAAGTCAGAGAATTGACCGAGAACCGAATTGTAGCAAATAGTAACAAATTAAAACATTTCTTAGAATTATGTTTTACTATAATTCTTGTTTTGAAAAGGTTCTTCATACTATTACAGCATACAGGTAACAGTCTGGGAATGACAGAGAGCCAAATCGTAGCAAATAGTAACAAATCAAACCATTTTCTGTGAAATTAATATTTCTTTAAAATTAAAATTTACCAGAGTTCTTCTTTCGTGAAGTAGTTTAGAGTGTTATGAGATAGAGCTAACAGATTGTGATTGATTGAGTGCCAAATTTTAGCAAAAAGTAAAAAAATTTCTACTGAGTTAGCATGTATCAACAAAGTATTTTATTTTCTAGAATCTCCAATTTATTGGTCTGTGTTTTTTCTTGTTTATAAAATTAATCTTAACCATTTAAAGTTGCAATTCTATGTCATAACGATGTTAAATTACCATATATTAATTAGTTTTTAAAAGCTATGCTTGGCACTTTTGTTCAGTTATTTATGTTATTGTGTGCCAAAAAATGGTTAATAAGTTCAACATTAGTTTTCTTACTAAAATGTTTCAAAGTTATTATATTGTTATAATAAATAAGTTATTTTTCAAAGGAACTAGAAATTAAAATAAATCTGTATATCACAAGAGCTGAATTAAGTAATCAATAATTGGTATGAATTTCATGTTGCTATGTGTTTGTTTGCTGGGAAATAAAGTGAAATATATCTGGTATGAAGTAAGAAAGTAAGGTTTGAGGGAAAATTTCTCAATAATGGTATTTGATTCCACTTTTATTTTTATTTGCAACCCTAATCTGGATAATTTTGCAGTGGCTTGTGGTTACTAATTCCTCTTTAGATTTAGGAGCTATTTAGTATTATTTATTTTACTTGTAAACTAAAATTTTATTCATCATTTTCTTCTAGGGTGAACAACAATATATGGGTTTCATTTGCTAATCTATTGTCCGTTCTACAAGAAATAGACATAACTAATCCAGTCATTGTAACTCATAATGCTAGTAGTAAGTGTTGTGTGATCCAATTTTCTTCTTTACATTGCTAATCTTAATCAAAATTATTTCTAACTTTACAATAGCTAAAAATTAAGATAATTTTTGTTTTTCTCCTCACAATAGATAGTGAATGTATAATATTAGAAGAAGATATTACTTTTGCTGGTTTTGTTCCTCTTTTGGGCTCTATTCAGAATCCTGCTTATGCAATTCTTCCTTATGATAAAGTAAGCAATATTTTCTCATTCTAAAAATGCTAGTTTTTCTTCTTCTTTTATAACCGTCATTGACCAGCCAACCCAATTTTTATTTTTACAACTACTAATCTTTAACTCCGTAGCCTTGTAATTTTGAACCCAATCCAGAAGACAAGAGTATTCCTGGATCAAGTATTGGGAGAAATTCGCCTTCATGGAGGATTTCTGGATTGAACTAACTCCCATTTGCATTACATGGAGAGGAAAACCATTAAAACCTGCCACGGTTAGCCTGAAGGCAAGGGGTCTCGAACCCATGATCCATCTACCACTGAGGATATTTTTCGTCAGCACTGTGGGCGATGCGAACCGGGTGCAGAACTCCTATAAACTAGCCATCGCTTGTATTTGAACCGGTTCACTTCATTGGAATCAGAAGGCAAGCACTCTGTCCCCTGAGCCACCACGCTTCAAATGCTAGTTTTGTAATATTTGTTTAATTTTCCTAAATATGATCCTGTTAAAAAATTTTAAAATGAAAAAATCTGATGGGATTTGAAGAGAATATGATTTAATTTGTATAATAAACACAAAATAAATTCATAATAAAAAGAAATCAAAATACAAACAAATACATAAACAACAGCTTGCATGAATACAACATATCCAAACCAGAGTAACCCGTTTCATTACCCCCATTTTTCCTCTATGGAAAAAGAGTATTTTTCATTTTTCTTGCTTGAAGTTTTATTTTTCCATGTGACAGCTTTAATTCTTACTGTATTTTTCATAAATTTTAATTTAAATTTCTCGCAATACTTTACAATTGTAAGTGGTTGAAATTTACTATTTGTAGATTTGCATTAATTATAATTACAAAGCTTGATCAGTACTTCTAAAATTTAAGGCCATTAGTTAAGGATGCATTTTATTTGATTGAATTTTTTTCTGTGAAATTTTTATTATTTATTCAGGATTTTTGTATTTTCTCATTTATTAACTATCAAAAGTGTGTAATTCAAAACAAAGTTATTTAAGTAAGAACAGTAATTGTAATTTCTAGATTTCATTTAATCGATATTTTTCTTATTGTGCTTAAAAAAATTTTATTTTATTTTTGTAATATTTAATTTTTATGTTTAATAGTTCCTGCTGAAAATTTAGTTTTTCAATACCAGTTTAAGTGCAGGATCAAATTTATCAGTGTCTTTTGTCTCAGCTCTTTTGAGTTATACTTACAGGGTTCCCGCGGCCTTGAAACAACCTTGAAAAGTACTTGAATTTTATTTTGATTTTCAAGGGCCCCTAGAAGTACTTGAAAATGATAATAAATCCTTGAAAAATTAAAAATTACCTTGAAAAGTATCGAAAACTCAGGAAAACAGATCTATTTCTGTGTTTAACTTTTGACGCGCGTAAGTGTGAGAGAACGACTTTCCCTCCTATCTGATGACATGTACTGTTTGAATTTAGGATTTTATGTATGTTCGGCTGATTTTAGGAATTTTAAATATTGGGAACTGCCCCAGATTCTGACAAAATCTCTATTCTTATTCAGGCGATTTTAATATCAATCATCGATCTTCATATTAAACTGATTTAAGTGGAACTGAAAGTGGTCAAAATTTCAAAATTATATTTAAGAACAATTTAAATTTCACTGTCTAAATGCTTCTGCCACTTTAAATATTAAATAAAAGTCTCCCGGCAGAGTTGTTTTTAAATATCTAATTGATATCACTGTTTTATATAGAACATCCCCGTCCTCTGCCCGAATCTTTGCTTATTCAGAGGTTGTATACCTAGCTTAAAATAGGCCTTATGCAAAATTCAAGTCCAACGTTTTTATTCATCATGAATTTTATTCTTGACTTGATGCCAATCACCCTTGCTTTTTTTTATACTTGGATCACTTTCCGAAATCAAGAGAGAGAGCAATGGAAGTCTTATTTTTCAGTGCTGCTATTATCGTCTGACATCTATTGTCAACTAACTATTATCGTCAAAACATTTTAGTTTAAAATGTTACATTTTAGTCCATCTTTTACTGAAATTTAAGTCATTGAGAATTTTATAATAAGTCTTAAAAAGTCCTTGAAAAGTACTTGAATTTTATTTTTAAAGTAGAGCATGAACCCTGTACTTAATAAATATTTTACAGTAGAAGTTCAATCCAAATACTGTGAGAATTTTTAGATGATTGAATTTGAGAATTTCTTTCATTTAAAAATATTTATACTTAATAAACTTGTTGTTATAAACAAATGTTTTCAGCATTATTAGAATTTAATCTTGTGTATTGTTTTTTAAAAATTTTTATTTTAATTTTTTCTTATTTTCATGTACAAGCCCAAGTAATTCATAATTAATGCTTGTGTCCTAATAATTTTTTTTTTAAAATCAGCACTGATAAGCTAATTTCATTTTTTTTTATAATATAAATTTTTGCAAATTTGCTAAATTTAAAATTTTTTTTTTAAATATATTTTTACTTAAACATTACCTGATAATATTTCTTCTTATTTAATATTTTTTCTTGTGTTTATGTGCAAGTAAATTATGTAAGTAATTGTAAAATTAACAAACGAAATTTTAGGTTATTGATTAATCTTGATTCATACATTTATTGCACATGAGAATTTATTTTTTTAAACTCTAAATGACTCTTCCTAATTTTTTTTTTTAATTTCCAAGTGTAAGATTAGAGTAATTTGGTGCACTTTTTTTTTTTTTTTTTTTTTTTTTTTTTTTTTTTTTTTTTAATGAATAGTTTGTTTTTATGTTTTAGGATAAAGCTAGGCACTGTTTAAGAATAAGCAAAATACAGTTTTTTGGGGATTATTTGTGTGGAGTGTCTCCTCCTTATTTAGAATTTGATGTTGGAGCTAAATGTTTTGTAGCTTTACTTGAGAACTTATCTTATGAAGAAACTTATGAACGGAGTGTTTTACTGGTGAGTTACTGTGCTATATTTTTTACATAACATGACCGAATTTCAGTGTAGTAGAATCTAATTTGCTCAAACTTTTGAACTATTGGTTTCTTCCAAAAGTTTATACAAATATATACATTATCTAGTGTTATAGAATCAGCATGAATTTTCAGATTACGAAGTTCTGAAATGCTATTTAAGGAGAAAATGTGAGCTGCTTTTCCCCATTGTTTAATTCTTGCCAATAGGGTGAGATGGTATTGTTTTGTGAAAAAATCTCAATGATTTCAAGATGAAATGTGATTTTAAAGAGCATCATTTTTCTTAAATATTATTTGTGAATTAATTTTTGCGTTTTTGAAGAAATATTTATAAGAATATAAGAAATATAAGAAGAAATATTTTATTTAAAAGATATTTTTATCTAAGGTAAATGTAATAGAAATGTATTGTCAATCAGTTCTTTAGTTTTTTTTCATCTATAAGTTTATTTATTAAAAAGATATTTTTAAAATATATAACCCATCCTTTAAGTAATTTTTAAAATTAAATTTTGCTTTATTCATATCTAAATATATTTTTAGGTTGATTAAATCGCAAATATATTTATGTAGCTAAGCCTATATACAGGGTTGCCACTCTACAGGAAGAACAGGGAAAACCTAGAAAATACAGGGAATTTAAAAGTCACCTAAAATAACAGGGAAAATGCAGGGAATTTTGATTTTTTTTTCTTTACAAACTGGGAAAATACAGAGAATTTTGTTTATTATTTTTTGTCTTTTAAAAAATGGTGACCATTCAAAGCATTATCTATGGGATATTTAACCATGATATTTCAGCTATACTAAACTGTTTCATTTACTATAGCAATTAATTTGCTGTTGCTGTTAATTTGCAGCTGTTTTTCCAGCAATTAAAACTAATACATGTAGTTAGCCCAATGTAGTTCACACAAGAGTACAGTAATTGTTGTTTCCTCTTAATATATTGCGTATAATATGTACAGGGAAAACACAGGGAATTTTTTTTCCAGATTTGATTGGCAACCCTGATATACTTTAAGATTATATACCCTGATATACTTTATCTTATCAGGTAATTAGATACCTGATAGGATAACGTTTGGTTCACGAAAGAGAGCGAAGCTAAGAATGATTAACAAAATATTTTCCTTTTTCTTCATTGGAAGGGAGAGAAAACTTATTTTTCACAAACATGGAGAAACAGTGTATCAAATATTCTTTTGTCAATTGTGTTGTAAATGAGAGAAGAATCCTGTTATTTTTTATCATCTAAATTTGAAATATCCAAGAATCTATTAATTTTATAATTTAAACATGTTGGTGAGAATTCACAAATAAGTACGTTTCTCATATTATTTTGCAAAAAAAAATGGAAAATCTTGTCCTAAAAAAATAAGAAACACTCTGTTTTTAAGGAAAATGTGTGAATTTTATGATGAAAAATAAAATTAAAATCTAGTATAATTTGCTTTAAGGTAATGAGTTTTAATGTGCAGGAATATCATAAAAATCACCAAACATTGATTTTTAGCTTTTAAATTATGGCTTTTAGGATTTCAGAAAATCACTCTTTACACCCACTGCCAGAATTTCAGGATCGTGGCGCTTGGCGATTCTGGAGTTATAAGAAAGATAACTCCGAGATTGATCATACTTAGGTGGATACAAATATTCTTCCTTTCATTATTAAAGATATTTGTTGGATAATAAAGAATTTCATCCTTTTGAAATCTTCATGCATTACGTGCATTCAATTCAAAACTTTTTTAAATGGAATGATTTGGAAAAATATAAATTTGTAACTTATGTTAAATATTTTTTAAAAATTATTTTATTAGCTATGTAATGCAAATTTAAATTTTAGTCCTCAGAGGATTCATTTAGAGAAGAGCATTTGAATGATAAATTGCAAGAGGACTCAATTAGTAGAACATCAGTCAGCAATGAGCTTTCAGATCTCTGGTCTCGCAAGGAAGCACTCAGCAAAGCTAGGGAAGAGCAACAAAAATACCAAGCTCGGGTTCAAGTAAGTTTCAAGATTTTATTTAGTANTGATTCACAAAATATTTTCCTTTTTCTTCATTGGAAGGGAGAGAAAACTTATTTTTCGCAAACATGGAGAAACAGTGTAGCTAATATTCTTTTGTCAATTGTGTTGTAAATGAAAGAAGAATCCTTTTATTTTTTATCATCTAAATTTTAAATATCCAAGAATCTATTAATTTTATAATTTAAATATGTTTTTGAGAATTCAGGAATAAGTACGTTTCTCATATTATTTTGCCAAAAGAATTGAAAAATCTGTCCTAAAAAAATATGAGAGAGGATATAGGAAAATTTGTGAATTTTCTGATGAAAAATAAAATAAAATTCTAGTATGATTTGATTAAACATAATGAGTTTCAATGTGCAGGAATATCATAAAAGTCACCAAACATTGATTTTTAACATTTAAATTATGGCTATCAGGATTTCAGAAAATCACTCTTTACACCTACTGCCAGAATTTCAGGATCGTGGCACTTGGGGATTCTATAAGAAAGGTAACTCTGAGATTGATCATATCTAGGTGGATACAAGTATTTTTCCTTTCATTATTAAAGATATTTGTTCGATAATAAAGAACTTCATCCTTTTGAAATCTTCATACATTACCTGCATTCTATTTAAAATTTTTTTAAATGGAATGATTTGGAAGAAAGAATATAAATTTGTAACTTATGTTAAATATTTTTTAAAAATTATTTTATTAGCTATGTAATGCAAATTTAAATTTTAGTCCTCAGAGGATTCATTTAGAGAAGAGCATTTGAATGATAAATTGCAAGAGGACTCAATTAGTAGAACATCAGTCAGCAATGAGCTTTCAGATCTCTGGTCTCGCAAGGAAGCACTCAGCAAAGCTAGGGAAGAGCAACAAAAATACCAAGCTCGGGTTCAAGTAAGTTTCAAGATTTTATTTAGCAAATTATATCATTAAGTGTCTTGATGGGTATTATATTACAATCTGTTACCTTTCTGATTTATTTCAGGCTGTATTGCACAAGCACCAGTGTCAGCGTCCTATTGTTCTTAAAATTAAACCTAGATACCTGGTTCCTGATACAAATTGCTTCATCGACCATCTCAAGCTCTTTAAAAATATTTTGGCTTCTACTGATTTTCATTTAATTATTCCTTTAGTTGGTAAGATTTTATTGCATTGTGTTATATTTGAAGGCCTTATTAAAGTAGTGGCCCAACTCCACTTATTAAATAATAGAATTAGCCCTATTTTCATTTCATTTTTCATCAAACTTATTTTTACTAGTACTAAATTGAGCACACCACAAATCGGACAGTATACAGATTAAAAATAGTACACTTATTATTTGAAAGGGCTGTATCTTAAAATGGGCGAAAGTGGAGATGTCCCCATTATTCAAATAGGGTCTTCATTTAATTTATGTTGGAAATATGTTGTTTTAATCTGTATTATATAAGGTGCTGAAATATTCTAAAAGTCATGCTTTGTTTGTTTAAAACTTAATCAAATATGAATGATTTTAATCAAAGACTGAATTGATTAAACTTTGTTTTCAGTGCAAAAGAACAATTTCAGAACTGTGTCGGGAAAATAAGTTTTAAAAATATTGAAGAGAACAACAACAACAAAAAAAAAAGATTTTTTTTTTAATGTTGATTGTTTTTGTTGAATGTTGATTGTTTAATGTTGATTGTTGATCTAATTTGAGAACTTATGAAACTCAATTCTGTTTCTTCTTCTTCTTTTTTTTTTTTTTTAAAACTAAAATATTAAGTTTAGCCTGAGTAAATCGGCCACTGTTTTTTAAAAAAAATTTTTTTATCATGGAATTCTTATGTATGTCACGTTATTCATATATTTTTTATGTACAGAAGTGACTACAAATGTAATTAATTTTTTTAAACATGAATTTAAAGTTGTTTTTTTTCTCAATCAGATGCTTCCAGTATATCTGTTTGCGATTTAACAATACACTCATTTTAACATTTTAAAATTTATTTTGTTATATGTATTTTCAAATCTAATTGTTTCAAAAGCCCTTAATAGTTTTCCCATATGGTCAATTGACGGAGATGTTTAGGTTAGCTTTTTCTTAATTCCATTACAAATTCAATGAAATAATGTATAACATTATGATATAGAAAATAAAGTTCATTTTTTTTTTATAGTGATCAATGAACTGGATGGTTTGGCCAGAGGTTCAAGAGGTAGTGAACATTCCAGTCGTGTGACAGCTCTTTCTCGGGAAACTATTCTTTTCCTTGAACAACAATTTGCCTCTAGGCATCCTCATCTGAGAGCAATTACTTCAAAGGGATCCATATTAGACACCATCAGTTTCAGAAGTGAAGAGATGGGTCAAAACAAGGTAAGCAAAACAAATAGCTTCATATGAATCTGAAATAAATGTTTGTTTATCAAATGTATAATCAAATTTTTTTTTTTAGTTCATGCTTACATTATTCAGGGATGAGATTCTTCCGCGGATTCGCGGATTTTTGCACAAGTTAAAATATTTTTTGAGGAATTTAATTTTCCGCGGAGAGAAATTATTGAAGTCCTCTTTCCTCCCTCTGAAGTTTCTCTAAAAATCATTTCCTTGGGATAAAACTGGTTGACCTTTATACAGGGATGAGATTTTTTTTGCTTTTGTCTCTCGAATTTCAGCCTTTTTATCAAAAACTCAGATTCTCAAAAAGTTTCGTTTTTTTATTTATTTATTTATAAATATCCCGTTTTTTTAAAAAAAAAAACATCCAGTCGTTGAAGTCAAATTATAATATTTATTTACGATTTTCAAAGAAAAACAGAAAATTCAAACTACGTCCTAGCTGCTAATCCTTCCGCATGTTTACTTATATTAGCTATTTTCTCCGATTTCACGCACAGAAAATAAGATTTTCCGTATTTTTTATCCGTCGGCGGGATAGCTCGTATCTTCGTAATTTAGACGTTGCTGCTTCTTGTATTCTGGTGAGAAAGCAAACAAAAAAAGCGNATTTTTGTCTAAAGATTCATACATATTGTTTCAATATTGGTATGGAAAAATACATACTCAAGTTTAAATAATTATTTTGTTAATAATAACAAGCTAAGTCTAAAAAGTGTTAAAATAATGGTCCTAAATTGGATTGATGGTTTAAAAAAAATTATCAAAGAAAAGTAACTGAAGTGTTTTTTGATTTTTTAAAATTATTCTTGCAGCAATTTCATGCGACAAGTCTTAAATTTTTCTCCTTGAATTTCTAGTTTTTGTTCAAAAATTTTCCACGGGATATTCCACCTATTAATGAAGGAAAAATAATTAAGAAACACATTACAAGCTGTCACATTATGACAAGTGATTGTAGTTGATAACAGATATTTCAAAACTGTTATGTGATTTTCAATCACTAAAAGCTTTCTATAGATTGTGGTGCAATTTTTATTCACACTCCTTTGAGTTACTTATTACAATCTACTGCATGGTTTAAAAAATTCTTTTTGAATTTAAATCAAAATTTTTTGAAATAAACATGCTGTGTAACATGAATTAATAACTTGGATTTTTTTTTTTGCCTTAAGTTTTTTGTCATAAATTTTTAAAGACTGTCAGTCTGATTTAGGATGCTGTATACATATTACTAATGTAAAGAGTCTTTACTTTTACTTTATTACTTACTTAACTTTATTATGTACTTTATTACTTTTGATTTTTTTTAGGGCACAAATGATGATCTCATTTTAACTTGTTGTTTGTTTTACTGCAAAGATAGAGCTGAAAATTTTATGCCTAAAAATCCAGGTATGCATTTAAAATATTTCCCAAGATTTGATTTAATTATCTCAAAGTAAAACTTATATTTCTTAACCCTCTAAAGATTCTGATTTGCTGAAAGTTTTTTTTTTTAATCTATTACTTACAAAATCATTTTGTAATGTCCTAACTTGTCTCTTTTCAATGGGTGAGGTTTCCTTTTGTTTCTTAGTTATGTAATCAGAAAATCTTTCTTTTTGTTGAAGTAATAGTATTTTGTTTTACTTTGTTTCTCATATTCAACTCACATATGCATCCTATGCATTGTGGGAATGCTGTATTCTTGTTACTGCCTCATAAAGTTTTGAATGGCATTCATTAAGATATCCAGACTTAGGTTTTTATTCTTATAAAATAAAAATAGTCAATTTATGAATATTTTTTTAAAACAAAATTTTAGAAAATTCAATATCCAACAGTAAATTGTCATGTTTAAGTTGATGTAGTAAAATTATAATTCATCTTTTTTATGACAAAATTTTTTCTCAATAAGTCCATTTACAGGCTTATTAGATATTTTTCATGTGTAGATCTATATATTTTTTCATCTATAGATAAGAAGGTTTTATCACTCTGCATGCTAATAATTTCTTCTGTAAAATTTTTATTAAATGATCTCTATAAAGTGTAGCTTGAGTTTAAAAAATGAACGTTTCCAAAAATTAGTTTTAGTGAGCATTCGGAGCTCTCTTTTATATCTCAAAAACAGATTCTGCTCACAATAAATTAAATGTGAACTGGACTTAAGACTTTGCAAAAAAGGAAATATGCTTCCATATCAATTCAATTATAATAAACTTATGTATTTCTTTCATAGCAATAAATTCCTGTTGTAAAATTTTTTTTATTACACTGTTTTCGTAAATAAAATTATTATTTAAAAAAAATTCAATCAATTACGTCAAATATTCAAGTACTAAGAGATTCATAGAGTGTATTTGTGTAATTTGTAATCAAAACAATAAATTCTTAAAGGTATTAAAATCAGAGTCCCCACGGGTCAGAGAGAACAGAGAAAACTTGTAGTTGTCAGAGAATGTTTTGAGTCTTAAAAAACAGGGAATAGTTAGAGAATGTTGAAATTTTTTTTCTTCAAAAGCCTGGAAAATTCTTACATCATCTGGAAAATAACCAGTCTCAGAGTTTTCAGTCACAGTAATCATTATTGAGATTAGAGTTAAATAATTGTAACATCCATTAGAATTATTTGTTGAAAAAATTTCACGTTTTAGTGTAACTTCCATACTTCCATCCTCATTCAGTGATATTTTTTTGCTCACAAAATTTGATATTACTAATAAAAATCAAAGTTTTCAGAGAAAAAATTGCATGGTATTACATATAATATGGCCTTGATTTTCATTAAATTCTCCTGATATACTTGGAAAAGTCAGATAATTTTTTTTCCTTCTGAAATTGAGTGGGAACCCCGTAAAAGCAGATGTTGAAATGAGTATATCAGCTTATAGCTTGCATAGAGAAACTAATAAAAAGTTACTCTAAAGATGAAGCAAAAGCTAAAAACAAAGCCAAAGACAAAAAGTCGACTTACATGTGATATAAATAAGGCGTGTTGAACCAAATTAGAATTTCATTACCAAACTCATCATATTGTGTAATTTTTTTTCAGATGATCCCATCACCTTGTTCCGGGAAGTAGTCTTATTGACAGATGACCGAAATCTGAGAGTAAAGGCCCTAGCCCATCATGTACCTGTTAGAGATCTTCTCTCTTTCCTTCAGTGGACTAACTCTTGAAGGAAACTAAAGATCACTGCCTCTCAAGAATAGTCTCCAAATACACGCTTTAAGGTGGTGTCAAGCTACAGTGGATGAAGCTGTTAAGGAAACCATCATTCTCCAAAGGATGTGACAATGTTGTCATTGAAAACCTAAGATCTTCTGAAAGCTGTACTAATAAATACAGTGTGCAGCAAAAGTCAAAAATAGATTTCTCAATGTAAACTGAATTCTTTTTTTTTAAATATAAATTATGAGAATTAACTTGTTATTCATAATTTAATGTGTTATGTAGCTATTCATTATAATAAGACTTGACTGAATGTTTTTCACCTGACAGTATTTTTTTTTTTAATAAAATATTATCTGGGATAGTATTTTTTGAGATGTGTGCCAAATTCAGAAATTTTGTGACTTCTATAATATTTGTGCTGCTTATGAATTTTTTTGCAGTTTGATTGTGAGAGAAAAAAATATTAAGTTTAATTTTTAATGTTTAAATTTATGTTTTCCTCAAAAATTTAATTTGTAGTATTCATTAAATACAAAAAAAATTTTTTTTCAATTAAGTTTTGTAATTATAAGAGTTATTAATGATTGAGAAAAGAAAAACCAATTTCTCACTATTACAATGCAGAACTATACTCTCAAAATTTTCCAGTGTTTCTTTACTTACAACTTGTTTTGCGTTTTTAAAAAATTACTTGATGTTGCAAAAATTTGTTAATAAAATTTCCATAATTTTACTCATTAAATATTATACTTTTTCTTGAAATTCGTTCAAGTTTTTCTTTTCATCTGTAAATTTTTGTCTAAAGAGCTTTGGTAATTTTTACCAATATTACCATTTGAATTAATTTCTTCCGGAAAGAAAAGTAAGGAGCTAAACAAAAAAATCATTAGCTTTTTGTTTTCTGTTAAATTCATTTAAAAAATAGAAATAAATTCCTCTTTAATTTTTAACTAATAAATCTTATAACATAAAAAATATTTTTAAAGGTTTAAATAAAAATAGAAAATCCTCTTTCAGAACTTTTAGTTTTATTTTAATGCTTAATCAGTTATGTCATTTTCATGCTAAACTTATTGTTGACTTAACCTAATTAGATAATATTCAAGTAAACTTCACTTATATATGACAAATTTTTACCCATTCATGAAACGTTTGGGAAAACACTTAATCTAAAATGGTTTTTACCAATCTAAAAAGGTTTTTACCATATAACACAATATTCGACACAATTTTTTAAAGATGGGTAACAATTTCAGTTTATTTCAAAGGTAAGATGGTTGCTAAATAATGTTACACAGAGACTTTTAAGTTCTCTATCTATGTGATGACATTGTGGCACTACCTACCAACTTATCACTGATTCACTTTTTGTTACCAAGACTTAAGTGTGAAAATTTTAAAGGTTCTCAGAGCAGCAGTCAAAATTTGAGAAACATTGATCTAACTAGAATAAATGAACTAAAGTATCATATACAGCAACGGTGTTTGCTAAATGAGAACAAAGTATAAATAAGTACAAAACTAAATCTAGTCTGCAATGATTTTAAAAATTGCTTTAGAATTATTCAACCAAATATAAGTAGTTTAAAAAAAAGTTAAGTTAGAAATTTGGTTCGACAAATGTCAATGTCTATTTTCTGCACTTTAATAGATTTCATTACATATATAGTTTTTATTGTAATTATTTTGTTTATTTTAAGATTAAGCATTTTAAGTATTAATAATGCTTATTTGTGTTAACCATTGTGGTACAGGGACCAAAAAAGAAAAAAAAAATTTAGTGTTTTTTTTAAATATGTAACTAATATTTTGTGGCTTAAAAAAAGTGGTTTCTTAAACTAAACCATATTTTAGTAAAACATAACTATTATTTTCCTGTTATTAAGACAATGTGCTGTGATTTAATTAAAGTATCTAATTATTGTACAACATGTAATTATTATAAACATTTTTGCACATACAAATAATCCAACTTCTTATTTTAATATTTATGAAAAATTTGGATTTGCTTTTTGTAAATTGTAAGACTAACAAAACACATTGTGCAACAAATTTGAATGTTTTTTCAGCCCTTTAGCTGAAACTATGTTATTTTGCTTAAACAAAAAAGTGCTTTGTCATTTTTCATTGTTTTTTTTTAATGATACTTGTTGGGTTGAACATTTGCTTAATTTAGGTTTAACAAAAAAATTGTTTATGAAACCACTTTTAGCATTTTAAGGAGAAAATTCCTTTTATAGAAAATGAAAATACCCGTAACGTTCTGGCATACCTAATGATCCGGAAAAAATTCTGTAGTGATTTGTTTATTCTCACAAATAAAAGCATTAAAAACTTAATGTAAACCATGTTTCATGTTTTGTTAGCTTTATATTAATTATTGCCATATTTATAAATTTGCTTAAATTTCTACTAGAATTGTAAAAGTATTGAATCGCCTAAATACTGACAAAGAAGGGAAAGTTATAATGTTTTGTTACATTTGTATATTTGCTAGTAAATTAAATTAAGACTGATTTTTAAAAATGTAAGCATATTAAAGGAAAATGGCAAATTAAAACTAGTACTAAGGTGCTTTTTTGTAGTTTTCTTTATAGAAATGATTTTGAGTGTGTTTTTAAGAGTACTTTGTGTTTTTTATTTTTGTATAAGAGAAAAAACATCCTTTGTAATTATTTTTTTTAGTTTTTTGGTATAGAAAAAGTTGTAGTTTAATATGGTTATTACATTTCAAAATTTGTTAAATTTATATTAGGTTGAACCTCTTAAACCTCTTCAGTTTGTTAATTTGCTTAATTTAATATTTTCATTCTCATTGGTACTAGTATTCAGAATGTGATTATACAAAAAAAAAACACAATCCTGTCTCTAAGTGAAATTTAATAATAAAAAAAAAAACATACTCTAGTGTAAATTTATACTTTTATATTGTCTATTAATATTTTAACAGTGTTGTTTTTTCTGAAGATTATTTGTAATAATATATTGTAAATCTCTTTACAAGTCAATAACACAAAGTTTACTCTAATATGTTAAGAAATAACTATCATTGTTATAAAGAGTTGGCTTTTTTAGAAACATTTTTAAGTCAAGTAACACATTTACTGCATCAACAGTAGTTACAAAGCTAAAGAGATTATGTATAAAAAATGCCATTGCAAAGGTGAGTCAGTGTATATGTTTGTTCATTATAGTTCAAGTAATTTAAAATTTGACTTGATTATCATTTTTAATTCTTTGTGAAGGAATTTTTTTAAAAATAATTAGTGGCTAGTTATAGAATCAATAGCCATGAGTAGATTTGTTTAATTTTGTTTTTCATGTAATTGTAGTTCCTGCAATTTGTTTATTAATACAATTTCCTCTTTTTTTATTCAAAGTAAACTGTTAGCAAAGGTTTAGAATAAATTCCTAAAGATAGATTTTTCTGACTAAATTAAGATGTGCATAACTAGTTACTTTTTTTTAGTTTATTATTAATATTGATTAAAAATGTTGAAAGTAAAACTACTCATAAAGTGAGACTGCTGTTAATTCTAAATAATTTTACTGATTGAAATAAGACTCGTTTATAAGTAACTTTTTTATTCTTTAATTATTATAAATATTGATATTAATGATTATTCTATACTATTTTGATTGAATTTTGATAATAAGCATTTGAACTTAATGTTATAAGAAATGTTAGATGTTATTTTATATTAGTAAACTAAAAAAAGTGACAACTCAAAAAAGAATGTCAATTACTAATCTTAGAAAATATAACTTCATTGAGCATTAATAAGAATTTTATACTTTTGTCAACTTTGAGGTATATTCAGTCATATGCAAATAAGTATAATTCTTCACGGTCTTAACATATAAAGTAGTCAAAACTTTTTTTTAATTGAATTTAAAAGTGATAAATAATTTCCACGGCATTCTTTGGGAGCTTAGGTTATAATTTTACGCCTTACAGTCGAATTGCGGCTCACAAGTGTGTGGTCCTGCCCCTCAGCTAAAAATTTATTGGAAAAATTGATTATTAATTACTAACCAACTTTTTAAACTAATAGTGTAAAAAGTGTTATCACAGTTTTTAACTAAATTCATTAACCTTTGAAAAAATACTTTCATAATAACATAGAAAATTGAAATATAGAAGTACTAATGCATATAATATAAATCTCATAACATTTTGATTTTTTTTAATGTAATCACCACATGTTAGATACATATATATTTTAAAATTAGTGATTTAAATATAATAACAAATCATAAGATTAATTTTCACACTAAGAAAGTTAAAATCAGTTACTTATAATTATAAAGCATGTAAAATTTCAAATGTTTTTTAATTCAAAAATGTTATTCATATATTTTGTAAATCTATACATATAATATTATATAAAATCTGCTCTGCCATTTCTTTAAGGCAATTGCATTATGTTTTTAATGCATTATGTTAAGTTATCCCGATGGTTGAGTGGTAGCGCTTCACGCTCTTGTGCCACAGGTCCTGGGTTCTAACCTCGAGCTGGGCAAGGTTGATTCAGCCTTTCATCCCTTCAGTGGGTCAATAAAATGAATACCATGCATACTCGTGTACTAAATACTGTGGATTCGGTGTTTGGCTGACCACATAACCGGAACATTTTCGCCTGCACCTCTGAGCCCAAGGCCAAGAAAACTGAGATGGGCGCCTTGACCTTTCATTGGCTGTTGTGCCACTTTAATTTATAATTAACTTGTAATCATTGGCATAAAAACTGAAGTCATTAGAGCCTCTGAAGTCTGCAGAAGTTTTTTTTTAATGCCCCTGTTTTGAAAAGTTTGTGCTCCTCTAGACTAAAGGTTTTGATTTGGAAAAGAAGCAGGAAAATTGTTATTGTTCTTAATTCATGTGCCAGGAAATATTGAGGTTTAATAATTTTTACTAAGTAATATATCACTGTTTTATATAATATCTACCTCACAACGAATGTATTTAGGATAGGCATAAATCTATTTTTTGAATTTAATGCTCTTTTTTTTTCTGAGCCTTTTAAATTTTTTCTTCTTTTTACAAAATTTGTTTTCAAAGTGTTTTTTGGGTTTGAATGCTAGTTGTTTTGCTCTAAACTAAATATAATTATAATTTATTGATTATACTTGATATAAACTAGACAGTTGCTTTTTTTAAATTCTAATGCCACATATCTTGGTGCATTAGTTGACCAATTATTTCTGATTAGCAAATTTCTCATTTGTCGAGTGTATAAGTAGAGTGCTGAAAAACTTAATATGAACATTTTTAAAATTAAAAAGCACAATAAAAATTACTAAGTCTACAACATTTCTTCCGTTAAAAACTTATTTTAAATTGAAAGTTATTGCATTTGCTAATGAAAATAATAACTACCTTTTTTTTGTTGTTGCATATTCTGTGCAGTGAATCAATTTAAAAATTATATTTGAGTGTTTAAAATTAATAAATATATTTATTGAGGGTTTATTAAAGAACACACTAAGTATAAAAATATATATTAAATTAAATTTTTGTTTTATCAGCTTAAATGAATAGCATGATGAATGAATATTATTTGATATTTTTAACTCTATTTATAAACTATTGTACTTCAGCAGCCCTTCATTTTCAATTCGATGTTTGTTTTTGTGCAAAATTACTGATGAATTTTTGTGTAAAAATTTTTAAAAGAAAAACTTATTCCTTAAATTTAATAAATTTTTATTTCTTAAAACTTATTTTGAAACTCTTGCTAGTCTGATGTATATTAATATATATATTTGAAATATAATATAATATAAATTAATATATTACTAAGTGTCATATGAAATAAATTTGCAGGGAAAGTTTGTAAACTGTTAAATTTCTTTTTTGTTTAATAATTTGCTGCATATAGATATTTATGTGATTTTATAGTTTGAAAAATTTTGATAGTTACATAAGTTGATGTTTGATAGTTTAGATTCAATAAATATTGCTGCAGAATATAGATATAGTAAATAAGTTAAGCATATTATTTTATTGCTGATTTAAATTTATTTTTTGAGCTTTATTTAAAATTCATTGTTTGCTTTTTTTTAAAAATTTTTTTAAAAAAATTTATAAGCAAAGTTAAGAAAGCCCCATTGTCTTGTAGTTGCTTTAAAAATTTATATTATTAAATTTGATTTAAAATTATTAAAGAATTGTGATTATAATATTAAATTTTTAATTTAAAAATCTAGTTGTTATTAATGCATTATTGTCTATTGAACTTGCAATTAATGTTGTGTGTTTGAAATGTATTGCATTGGTGGTAATTTTTATTTTCAAAAACAATGATAATTTGAAATAACTTCTTCAGACTTTTATATAACTGTGATTTGTAGTTTGTACGATTGTCTTTCCTTTTTTTTTAGAATTTAACCATTTCATATGTTATCACTTAATATGTCTTAGATGTAGATATTACATGTTTGCTGAATATATTAATCATTTTGGTGTCTGTCTTTGATGTAGACCATGATTTCTTCAAGTTGCCAAGTGGGACTAATAACTTATATAATAATCAAATAACAGCGGGCTGAAAAACTATATCCGACTGAAGCTGTAAAATAATGTATTTTGTGTTTATTATTTAACATAAGCCAAATGAATATGAGAAGAAAGTATTATATTTATAGTTACTATTTTATCTAAACAAGCTCAAGATTTAAGATCTCAAATAAAAAACATATCAAATTAAATCCTTAAAAATTAAATTAATTTGCTTTAAGTAATGATATCATTAAATTACAAAAGAACCACTATATAGCAGAATATAGGAATAAATTTTGAACTGTATCAAATAAATAAATTTGTTATGTTTTTCATGTCTAAGTATAAAAATATTAAAGTTCTAAAAATAAAAGCCATATCAAGGTTTAATTTTAATAGTTATGAAAAATAGTGTTATAGTATTTGTGTACAAACTATTATATTTTCTGCAATTATTGCACATAATTTATATTAAGTGTTTCCATTATATTAATATTCTTACACTCACTATAAAAGTTTGCAATAAATTAAGTTTAATCAGAAATAGTATCATTTGGTGGTTGAAAAAATTATGGTTGATATGAAAAATAGTAGTTACCACTGTCTTGCCTTTTTGAGTTACATTTTGAGTTTAGAAAAGAGAATTTACAAGCTCAATTTAAATTTACTTACTGTTCTATGGAATGTATTTATCAAGTACTTTTACATGTTTTGTAAGTCAAATATTTTTTGTGTATGGCAATTAGCACCTTTTATTTTTCTACCTCTACAAATATATTTTGTATACTACTTGTAAATATTTATTTATATTTGATGAAATTATGCATATATGGTGATGGAATTTGTGCATATGTTTAAAAAATGTACTCAAATTTATGTGTACTTAATTGAAATGACTGTGTGGTTACATTTGTATTGTATATAACAGAGTAATTATGCATGATAGTTTGAAATCAATAAGTTTGTTGATAAAGTATTTTCAAAAAATGATGCAATTCATGTCCATATGAATGAAATATATATTAGTCCTTGTTAATGTTTGTGTGTTTTTCGTTAAGTGATTTTTATTTTCTTTTATTTTTTTATTGAAGTGGTCTTTAAGGCTGTTTTTACCATATATTGTGAAAAAAGAGTGTTTTACTATCACACTTTCTGTAAGAAGCTTGTATTAATACTAATTTCATATTTTGCACAATTTATACATACATAATATACATTTGCATAAAATAATCTGTTAATTCTCGTTTTATTTAAAAGTAATGATAATATTAATAAATAATAATAATATTAATAAATAATATTATTAATAAATACAATGAATAATAATGTTTAATAATGATAAAGATAATAAATAAAAATTTAATGACAGAAAAATAAACCTTATAGTGAAAGAACATTGGTAAATATATTTACTAAAATAATTGTGAAAATAAGCATAAAAACTGCAAGAAACATTAGGAAGTTGTTTTAAAAATCACCCTATCTAAAGACAGTAAAATTAATAATTATTTTACTCCTGTCGTCTACTCATTCAATGCTAGAAGCTTCGTGTGCCAGTTATTTATACTTGAGACGCTGTTTCCAACCTTCTAGAGATTTTGACTTAAAGAATCAAGAATATAGCCACTGCTTCATATCCAATTGAAAAATTGATAAGTCAGTTTTATTTGACTTGGCCATTTAATAGGAAAGAAAAAAAAGGCTTAGCATATTTTATGTGTGTTTTAAAACCTGTTTTAATTATTGAAAAATAGCTTAAAAAATGCATAACCCGATGTTAAAATCACCTAAAATAAATCTTCAAGCAATTTGTAATTATAAAATAAAATTGGTAGAGGAATTGATGGGTACCCATGCAAGTGCTGGATTCTCTTCCGGGTTTTACATGGTTATTGCATGGCTATCTTTGGCTTATATTGTGAAATCTTGGATTAAGTCCTGTAATCATAACTTTAATTATCAAATATTTTACACAGTCTTTCATTTATCTTTAAATAATCTGGAGACTGTCTGCAATTAGTTTCATGTTATTTTTGATAAATGACAGTAGCATAGCTGCCTACTCTACTGGATTTACCAGTAGACTACTGGATTTTGCCAGTTTCTCCTGGTCTACTGGTTTAATTAAAATTCTCCAGGTTTTTGTATATTTTAGAAAATTCACTAAAATTGAGTAAGTTATCAAAAAAAAAAATCCTTATTGAAATAGAATTTTTGTACAGATTATTGTTTGCTTTCTTGAATATTTAAATAAGTATTACCAATACATAATGAAGCGAGATTCAATTATCAAAATCAGTTCAAAACTTTTTTTGTTTTAAAATGTTCAGTTTATTTTAATTCAGAACTCACTTTTTTCAAATTAATTAAAAAACAATCTTTTTAATTATCTTTGATGAATTAAATGTCGATTAATATTCCAAATTATGAGTAAACACAATGCATAACATTTCAAGTATGTTTAATGTCAATCATAACTGAAAAATATTGCAGTTTTTATATTTTGATGACTGTAAAAATCTCTAAAATTCTTTATGCGTAAAATATTTAGTACATTATGCAACAATTATCATGAAGTTTATATTATTTTGTAAAATCTACTGAATTTTTTCTATTCATGTTTGCAATAGCAGTGTAGTAAAAAATGTTGAGTCTTAGTTTTATTCACCTACTTGGT